AAAATAATTAGGGATTGGAGAGAGGAAAAAAAGGTCAAAATTGAGGATTCAAAGCCACTTATGAAAAAATAATGAAATTTAAAATTTAATTGTATATAGAATGATAGAGATTTGTAAAATAATTAGGGATTGAAGAGAAAAAAAAAAGAGGGGAGATGTCAAAGAGAGGAGAGAGAGTGTAGAAAAGGGCAAAATTGTCAAAGGAAAGTGATTGTCACATCATGGACAATTCTCTAATTATAGGTGCCAAATAGGGCACTTTAGCCAATTATCTCTTTTCTTTACATCTCTAGATCCTTCTTAGGTGTATATTGGAAAAAACCGAATAAACAAATGTTAGCAATTATGTATATCTCTGTACGCCGACTTCGTTGTTCCCAAAAAAAAAAATCTCTATAGTCCGACGTGAAAATTTTGCTTCTCTTTTTTCATATCCTTATTTAGGAGTGGGCAAAAAAAAAAACCGAATCTTGAAAATCCGAACCGAGCTTGATCCTCTAAAAAAGAACCTGAACCGATCCGAACCCGACATAAGTACCGAGTGGATCTTGTTTTACGGTATTTCGGGTTATGGGTTTTATCCGAACCAAATCCAAACTTAAATGGATATCCGAAAGAAGCCGAAACTTTAAAAATTTAAAAAAACTTGTACCCTATCCAATCTAAAATTCTAATATGTTTCTAAAATACATTAAGATATTATTGAATATCTGTAGTAATTAGTTATTATATGTATAATTAACTCAAATACTTAGTCTAATATATAGTTTTATTTAGTTAATATTAATGTTTATGTTTGACATTATATTTGAAGTTTAGTTAAGAATAAATTTGTTTTGAAGTTTAAACAATGTTGTTGTTTTTAAATTTAATTAGTATTTTTTACGTTTATAGAATTCTAAGTTGTTAACTTTAATATTTTTGTATCTATAGTTAGGTATGATTTCTGTTCATAAAAGACTTTGGTTTGTCATTAATCATGATATATTTATTATTATCACATATATTTCAAAGATAAATCTTACATGGTTAATAGACGAGTTTCACAATATTATTTTGAAGGACAATAATATAGTTTGAAGAAGCTAAATACAAAAATTTATTAAACAATTGAAAATATATTGAATTTAACCGAGTATAAATTGGTACTTTTAGAACCGATAACCCGATTAGTATCCGAAACCGAAACTACTTTGGTTTCAATTGGATCTTGGACATATTACTAAACCTGAGATAACCCGAATCCGACCCAAATTTTTTTAACATCCGAATGGGGCTGAAATTTTTAAATCCGAAAACCCGAAACCGAATGAACCCAAACCGAAACCCGATTGTGATCCCGATTTTACAGCCCTATCCTTATTCCTAGATTAAAGATAAATAAAACCATCAGCGAATCTAGAAGATTGTTTTAGTGGGTGCACAATTTAATAATGGTTAGAGTCATCTCCAACAATGACATCAAATTTGATATTAAAATTACACCAAATTTGGTGTTAAAATTATACCAAATTTAGTGTTTTGGTGTCAAATATTTTTTGTTATCTCTAATAATATCACCACATTCTACGACAAAAGTAATATTATATATTATTTAATTTTTAGTTTTAATTATTTGTAATTGATAAATAATCATTTGATCGCATTATCTATTATGTTAAATTTTGTAGTTTTATGTTATAAAATTTATATACATTTATATTTTTGGTTTAGTTATATTATATATATGTATTTACTCTATATAAAATATTAGTTTTATTCAAAATTACATATTATTAACAATGAAAATTAAATAAATATATTTATTTAATATTTTTATTAGTTAACAATACAAGTTAACTATTTATAAAATAAATTTGTGATTTTAATGTTTGATAAATTTAATATTATTACATAAAATTTTAGTTACTATTTAATCTAGCTTATAGTACTGATTTCTATATTATAAAATATCAATTAAAATTTTATACTGTTAAAAGTAGAAGTAAAAAATTCTATTATAATTTCACATAAATGATAATCCTTATTTAGTGATTCATTAATAGAACAATAAAAATAAAACTTAATTAGGTACAATGATTTAAAAATACAAATAATGTATTATATTTAGATTTAATTAAAATTTTGAATTAATTAAAAATATTTATTGAAATATATTATTAAGTGAAATATATTAAAATGTATATTTTAATATTTGGTGTGAGGAATAATGTTACATCAACTTTGGTATAATACTATTCACTTTACACCAAATTTGGTGAAATGATGTCAAATTTGGTGTCTTGTTGGAGATGGATTTACACAAAATTTGGTGTTTTGGTGTCATTGTTGGAAATAGTCTAAGTGGGGCATCGAACTTGAGAGATTAGGGGGTGTATTTTCACATACAAAGCTTTTAATATTGATAATATTATGGGGGCACGTGCCACCATAATCACAGCTAGTTGTGACTTCGGGTTACTGTATTATATTGTTTTTATGAGATTATTGTTAGACCCAAATCTGGCCTAGTAAAGTTGACCAAGCGCGAGGTGCAACAAGCGATGAGCGCGAAAGACTAACGGACGAGTCCAATTCCAAAATCGAGGTAAGCAGGCCGAAGAGGCCCATCACATGAGATAGAACCGGAGATCGCAAGGTGGTTAATAAGGGGGATCGACTATAAAAGAAAGAGGAAGATAGAGAACAACACACGAACAAAACCCTAGAGCTTCTTACTACTCAAATCGACCTTATTATTTTAGTCGTAAACTTGTCCTAGTTTTGATCTCACTTTGTAACTTTCAATCTCGATTACTTCTTTGTATCAAACCTTATAACAATAAAGTCCATTTTTGTCTAATGAATTCAGATTATATCGTTGTATTCTAAGAGCATTGTTTCCCACATCATTTGTCTTCCCTAGATTCAACCATTAATCACTACAAAATACTTAGTGTGTATTTTAGGATCTACAGAAGTTAATACGGGTGAAACCATATCATTTAGATAAGAAAAATTTAGAAAATTTAATTTCACGCTCTCTTTTAGCAAAGAAGCCCAATTGTTTGAGTCACAAGAAATTAATTATACTAGGTGTTTGCTCGCAATATTATGGATAGTTATATTATATGAAAAATATATATTATGTTTACATTGTTAAAGTTTTAAAATAATAATTATAAATTTTAAAATTTTCTATTTTATCTTCAAATAGTTGGATAATCAAAAATTTCAGTACTTACTTTTAGAAGATATGTAAGATTTAATATAGTTCAACAACATAAACTTTAGTTATTAAATATATTTTTCTTACACAAAAATAATATTATAATTAATTCAGATAATTGATTGTAAAATTATTTTTAGAATATATGTGAGATTTAATATAGTTCAAAACATAAACCATAGTCATTAAAAATATTTTCTTACATAAATATAATATTATAATTAATTCAGATAATTGGTTGTGGAATTACTTTATATTTTATTTTAAAACGTGGAAAATTGGAAACACTCTAGCTTTCAAAAGGAAAAAGAGTGTTTTATGTGTAGCTCCAATAGGATCAACAGAATGATTGGAGATATTTTTATCATGAAGATCATTTGTAAAAGTTTTTGTTTTTGTGTGGGTTTTAAAAAAACATACAAAATTATAATACTTCCTTAGGAAAATGGTAGTTTAAACAATTTTTTTCATATTTTTTTTTTAAATAACAAAACACACTTTCTCACTTATTTTTTTATTTAGTATTTAACATAAAATTCAAATGGATTAAGCAAACAAATTCTTCCTTAAATTTTCTTTGATCATCACACTATTTTATCAAACACTTTCATTCGGCCAAACTGTTTTTTTTTTTTTTATAATTAAAACCAAGAATAGTTTAGATATATTTAAAAAAGTATTATTTTAATTTATTTTAAATTACTTTCAAACATACCTATTTTAATTATGTCTGATTATCTAATTATACATAAAAGAAACAATATTTTTTAAATTTAAATGACAAAATATCATTATTTTAAGCATATTTACTTAATATTAATGTGAGATCCAATATTAAATCAAAATAAAATGTTTTTTCTTGTATAAAATTTGTTAACATTTTATTATCGTATATTTTAAAATTTTATTATACCGCAAAAATACATTTTATTGTTTTCATATCATTTTTCCACATGTAAGATTTGGTGTAGAAGTATTCAAACCTTGATCACTAGGCCACACCGTACAATCACACATGTAAGTGTTCTTTATAATTTATATTTGCAGGTTTGGGTGAATCAAAGTTGAAAAAGGAAAAAAAATAAATATATTCCAAACAGTTATTAGAATAATAAACTCAGTTTGGGCGGTGGAATGTTTGCACAACTTACATTTCTCGAATATTATTTTCGAAACTTCCTCGGAGAGTCTCCATGCCGCATTCACAAGACCAAATGACCACTTAAGTCTCAGTTATATCCGTCACAATACCTCCTTCCTGCTCAGCCAGATAGAGTCCTGGAGTTTGGACCACGCTCATCTAGAACGCAGTAAAGCTGTTGACGCAATTGCTATAAGTGTCACTCGCGACCATCGTTATCAGTCCTACATCGTCAGAAATGCCTCCCATGGTTACATCACTTAATTGCTTTGGAAGTGCAATAAGGAATTGGGTGAAGGTTGTTTCTTTTTCCCTTGTGTTTAGAAGTCTAATGATTTTTCCATCTTACTTTCTTATACTTCATTGTATATGATTTTGAATTTTCCATCGTATCAGTGTTATATAAAAAAAAAAAGAATATTAAACTCAGCTTAATGTAAATCAAACACAATCCTAATCCGAAAAGGATTCGAAAGATTTTTGAAAAAGGAAAAATTAAACATACATATATCAAACGGGATTCATTATAGTAAAATCCCTAAGCGGCAAGGATTAGGTTCCATAAAAGGTGTTATAAAAAGAGAGTTAGGGTGGTCTTGTTTTCTCATACTCAACATACTCATCAACGTACTCTACTTTCTATTATTTACTATGGCGACAACAAGAATGTTCTGCTTCGTGCTCGTGATGATTCTAATGGGAAGTTTTTGCTCGGCAAAAATCTACAAAGTGGGAGACTCGAAGGGATGGAGAGCGAAGAAGGGAGGTACCTATTATGAATGGACTAAGCGTAAGGAATTCCAAGTGGGAGATTCTCTGATGTTCAAATACGATGGCAACTTCAACGACGTCACTCAAGTTTCCAGTCGTTTGGAATACCAATTCTGCAACTCTCATTCTCCTAAAGCTGTCTACAACACAGGGCACGATGTCGTGACTCTCAAGGAACCAGGTTATCACTTCTTCATCACCTCAAATCATTCTCAATGCGTAGCCGGACAGAAACTCGTCGTTTTTGTCGTCCATGAGCATCCAACGATTCCTCCTCCACCACCACCGAGAAAGATCCTTCCATTCGGAAAAGATTACAAGGTTGGTGACTCCAACGAATGGAAGGTTCCTGAAGAGAGTGACTTCTATTCCAAGTGGAGTGAGGAGAAACAGTTTCACGTGGGAGACAATCTTCTTTTCTACTACAACGACCAAGTCGATGATGTCCTAGAAATTAGTAGTGATCTTGAGTTCAAATCTTGCGACACTACTTCTCCTNTCCATTCGGAAAAGATTACAAGGTTGGTGACTCCAACGAATGGAAGGTTCCTGAAGAGAGTGACTTCTATTCCAAGTGGAGTGAGGAGAAACAGTTTCACGTGGGAGACAATCTTCTTTTCTACTACAACGACCAAGTCGATGATGTCCTAGAAATTAGTAGTGATCTTGAGTTCAAATCTTGCGACACTACTTCTCCTGTTGCCGTGCACAATGGAGGACAAGATCTCATTAGGCTAACAAAACCAGGAATACGCTATTTTATTACCTCAAAGATTGGTCATTGTGAGGCTGGGCTTAAGCTTCGAGTTGTGGTGCGACCACTTACCAGAAGTGTTCCGAAGAAGATGCAGTCGTCACCTTTCGACCGCCTCATCAAGTGGCTACATGACTCCTTCAGACCCCACCCCCATCATTAATAATTCGCTTCTTTAGATTAGCTTATTAGTGTTTTTATTCTTACTCGTTTTTGTTCTTTAGTTTATTTTCCAAAATAGTGTGTTTTTTTTATTTATTTCTATCGTTGTGGAGAAACTTGATTCAATGAAAATATTTTTCCTTAATTCTAACTGAATACACATAATAGACTCAATGCCCTCACCTCCATGGAAAACAAAGAGATAAAACAAAATACAAGAGAAAATAAACAATATCCTAATGAATTAGACAAAGAAAGAAAATAAAAGTCTGTCACGCATTTCATATAATATGGCACATTTTAAAAAGTCTAATTATATGAAACAAATAACCAACACACATTAGTCTGATTGGGTTCTATTCTTTTTTTTCTTTCTTTACAACTCTAGATGCTTCTTATGTATATTGGAAAACCGAATAAACAAATGGTAGCAATCAAATTTTTTATTTTATAAAACTTATAGAGTCTTTTTAAAACAAAATATAGTGAATCTACTCTACAAATTCTGCTCAAACTAGTATATCTTTGTACTCTGACATAAAGATTCCCAGATTAAATATTAGGAAATAATATTTTAACAATAAAACTCCATAGTTATTTTATTTTTTCTATGAGGTTAGCTGAAGAAGCTCGCCCAGATAAGACCATATCATTTTGATGAAAATTAATTTTTAGTAATAAAATTATTTAATTAAAAATGAACTGTAAAACAAACTAACAACTAAAAAAATTGAAAGAAATAAACTTTCAACTTCTAAAATACTGTGATAAATGGTGAGAGACGTTAATAAAACTAAAATTGGAGGTTTATAATGTTGAAAACTTAATTGAGAGCTTTTTTCCTGATTTAAAAAGGATTATATTACTAAACTATTAAATGTTTTAAAACTTTTATTATCACTTATGCAATGTTTGAAACTCTTATAATCAATCTACATGTTAAAAATTAATTTATAAATCTTTATGTATTATTCTATCATCTTATAACTGATTAAGCTTTATAAATATTTTAATACTTTGACAAATGATTAATAAGGCTTAACAACAATGTTATAAGCTTTTACAATTTTTGCTACTTGTTAGGCTAATATAGTGTACGGTTATTCGTGACACTACAGAAACAAAACATAAAGTAAAACAAAAATTAAATTAGTTTTAAAAGTTGCTAGAATTGTTTATAAAAATTTTAAACAATGCATCTTATAATATTTAATAGTTTAGTGATAAAATTTGTCAACTGTTTCTGAATAGGGAAAATTTCTCAATTAAATTTTTAGGATTATAAACCTTCAACTTTAATTTTTTAATGATTGTCATACTCTGTCATGATATTTACATGGAGAGTAATAGTTGTTAACAAAATTAAAATGAAAGAGTTTTTTTCGTCGAATTTTTATTTGATGTTTATTTTATGATTCATCTTTAGTTGTAGAATTTTATAACTGAAATTTTTTATGATCACACGAATATAGGTTATTGCTTTCGACTCATTTGAATACTCAGGAGAGAAACTATCTATGAGCTGTATCTCCATCCAGAAATTAGGTGTATGTCTTTAATATATCTTGGTTTAACCCTTTTAGTTAAAAAAAAAACCTTTGAAAAGATCAGAAACTTCCGAACGATTTCCTTCAGCAAAAAAGTCAGCCAAGTGTATACGTCACGAGAAATATATAATAGATGTAGAATTTGAAATATTGTTTCAACCCTGATACAAAGATAGTTGTTCCTCGCCGTGTATTCAACTCCACATGAAGGGGTGAACGGAACTAATCCTTCCAAATGATCCAATAGAGCAACCCCCGATTCCAGCTCTTTAATGATACCTCCACCAAACAATAGACATGCTGATAGCTCAAGATGCATCTACTTAACATCTTTGTGTGATCGGCTAATTTATCTCCACTTAAATCTTGATTGATATAACATTAGCATAAACATCATACTCCTTATTATCCAATCAACATTTGTTAAAAAATATTTAAAAAATCACTTACTAAATGCTAATGTTTTCTAAATACTAATTATTTGATACATTTGTATGAACATTTTTGAATATTTTTGAATATTTTCATTTAAAAAATATATTTAAATTAATGTATTTATTTAATAATATGAACAAATTAGGTTTATTATTTTATAATAAATTTTATATTTTAATAATTACAATTAAAATATTTTGGTATAAAAATAATATTTCACATTAAAAATATATATTCATTTAAAATATATGAAATATTGTTTTCAAACTTTTTAATTACTCATTACCAATATTAAATTTACCCAAAACACCTCGAAGTTATATACATTAAAAAAAAAAAAAAAAGATAAACGAAGGAGAGTTGCGGAAGCAGAGCCGTTGTGACTTGTGATGGATTCATTTAGTAAGGAGAACCCTAGGCTGCACCATATGAAACAGGAAGTGTAAGGTGAGCTTCTACGGTGAATCCATGAATCTAATTTTGAAGAAGTTACTTTCCCTGATTTCAATGATCGATCTGTGCTGGCTATATTTCAATCGTCTTCCTACAGTTCAAGATTGTCTAAGCTCTCAATATTCAACTGTGGTCCTTGATGCGTTGTTTCTGCTTCTTTTGTTTCCTCCTAACTTCCTTCCTCCAGTTGTGTCTTTAGCCTTTCACAAACTCATACTGGGAATCCAAGAAAAGAAAAGGGTAATTGTTATATTCAATTCATACACAAGAAAAAGTGCAAAAAGCAACCTTAAGCATCTAGTTTCTTAACTTTATGTTGGAATTGTATCTTTTGATTAAAAGAAAAAGAAAATGAAAAAGAAATAGAAAAGAAAATAAGAACAAGAAAACATGGGAAATAAGTTGTAGCAACTTTGTTGGTTTGTTAGCTAAAAGTCTTTGTGTTTGCTTGTTGTATTAGTCTAAAGTCTATGTCAAAAGGTATGGGCTATGTATGAAAACTAGAACTCCTAAGTCAAGGAAATGGAGAAGATGGAGAGTGTTTTCTTGTATAAATATGTGTGTGCAATGTTGTGTAAAATTATCATTGAGATCAATATAAGAAAAATGTAGACAATTAAAGAGTTCTCTCTTCTCTCTATAACATCAACAACAAACGTAAGTGAGAGTGAAGAGAGTGACAGTGTAACACAAGTACAAAAATAGAGAGGTTGGCCGTGAGTTAAGTTAGTGGAGAGGTCAAAGCCAAGCAAAAGTTCAACACTTCAATATCTCCTTGTTCCAGTACCACCGGATGAGAACCCTACAAAGGTAACTAATGTTACTATCATCCCCCTTCTTGGACTTAACTGAAATCAGTTGTGATAATCATTACAGTTTCATAAGTAGCTCTACTGTTTCTAGGGTTTGGCGGTTCATTAAAGCAGCGTCAATCAAACAAAACTACATTGCAATTCTGGACAAACAAAAATACATTAAAGTTATAAATGTAATTAGCAAAAGTAAAAGTTAAACATAAGCCTATCGAAAGAATTAGATATATATAGGCGTTGTTAATTTATAATTTATATTTGCAAGACTCTAAGGTAAATGAAAAAACACTTCGATTCCAAGCCTTTTTTGCTAGTCATCACCTTGATTCTTTCCCGTATACACAAAACCAAGAAAGCATAGTGGTAGTCTGATCATCTATTCTCTAATATCAATCAGCATATTCCCCCAAATTTTGCATCCAAACTTTACTTTTTTTTGCATCCCAAATATTTTAGATTTTGCATACATCTAGATGTTGATGCAATAGTGTACAAACGAACAATATCTAGATATTTACTTTCAGATGTAGCGTCTGGATACAATAACAAAGACGGTCTTAAACAAAAAAAAAATGATAAAAATGTATAGTGACTATGTAAATGAAATAACATTGAAATAATCAGATCAATCTAAATCTCGGAGATGATAACAAACCTGAAGGAATTTTCTGTATCACTCTCGACATCACTCATTCAGAAGTTAACAACCTGAAACTTAACTTTGAAAAAGAAGAACAATTACTTTGAGGAATCATAAACTAACTGTAGCGATCATCAGCAGCAGCAGAAGTGGCAAAGGGATATAGGTCCAGCAGGCGCAGTTGAGTCAAACCTAAACTCAGTTCCAAAACCTCTTGATTGCTGCAGCGTCTACACAAGCTTGATACTAAATTTGTATTTGCAAGAGTTTAGGAATCTTATTTGAAAAAGGAAAAAAGGAAAGGAAATCTATATTCAAAAATAGTTATTAGAATAATAAACTCAGCTTAATGAAAATCAAACACAAGCCTACTTATAACGGATTCGAGAGATTTTTGAAAAAGGAAAAAGAAAACATATATATCCCAAAGGGGATTATACTAAATTCCGTAAGCGGCAAGGATTAGGTTCCATAAAAGGGGTTATAAGATATATCCCAAAGGGAACTTTTTTTGCCCCCCTCACAAATGCTGATGTGGATGCATGAGAAGGGAGAAAACTTGATTTTATTGTATAAGATATTGTACCATTTGGTTTTTAGTCTATTTCATGTATTTATGTCGCTATATTATATTGGTCGGTCATTTTAAATCCCTTATATATTAATCCTGAAGCATTCATAAATGCACAACCTTGAAGATCATGCTTACGTGTCAAGTTCACGGAGCTTTTCAGCCTTAATTTTTTAATGGACCAACTTTGCTAATAATGAAATAATGTAACATTTAATTTATTGCATTTAGGACTATAATATATAGACATGTTTTAAGGGACCAACTATGCTAGGTATAAAATAATATATTTTCTTTCCTTAAATAAAAGCTACGGAATTACCTAATATGATTAACATATATATGTAATTAATGATTATGAATAATACATATTTTTTTTGTGTCCTCTCTCTTTTTTGTTTAATTTTAAATTATTAAAATAAATTAAACAATCACATTAAATATATAATAAAAAATTAATTTTTTCTTATAGGTTATAAATTTAATTTTTTAAAAATGACCATAAATAACTAAAAATAGTAAAATCCAACATTGAAAATTTTA